AACGTAAATAGATAAACAGTATAAAAAAGGTGTCATATTCAAACAAAATTAAAAATAAAACTTTAAGTTAGGTTATTAAAATTCTGCATAAAAATTTATTAGTTTACGGCGAAATAGTCAAAACTGTTGTTATTATGGTACGTAAATTTTGTAAAAAGGAAACATATATTAGGTATCTTTATTTCATTATATATTTTTTTGTGGTTATAAGTTGCTCCAAGAAGTTCTTTTGGTCTTACTGTAGAGCACCGCTGAAGAGCATTAACTAAATAGTTAAAGAAGGCGTACTTCTTCCTGATCGATCTATGTCGATTATCAGGCCAGAGCCAGAATCAAATCTCGGACTTCTTAGTTCTGAGCCAGAATCTGAACCACTGCACCACAGTTGATCAATTACACGAAGTTACCTAAAAAATTACTCGAGATACCTAAAAAATGCTCACATATACGTCTTCCACGGTATAATACAAATTGTAAATATACAACGAAATGAGAACTTTAATTATACAACGAAATGAGCATTTTTTTTTTTTATTAATTTATTATAAAAAATCTAATAACTCATATCATTTTTAATATTAAAGCTAAAACGATATGATAAACAAGTTAAATATATTTGTATATTATATAAAAATATAATGGTTTTAAAATAATTACCAAATTTTTAGCTAAAATAATTCAAACGCTTTTGATGGTAGTATATCTTAAGAGCAGTGACGGATCCAGGATATTTTGGTGATTGAGATAGCTAACTTCCAGACACCTCCAAAAATTTGTATGTTTATACTTAAAAATTATCCAAAAAAATTACAATAATTTGAGGCTAGGAACAAAAAAGTATTCATCCCCCCATTCTTTTTTTGTACTTAATTCTCAATTAGACTTATATTCATCGATAAATTTCAAACTTCATAGTAATATCTCTCAGCGTTCAAAAACAATGGCCATATAAATATATAATAATATATAATAAGTAAATATATGATAAATATATATAACTTTTAACCCCCTCATATTGAGGGGGGTTTAAACTTTGTATGGTCATAATTTTCGAACGCTGAGAGATAATACAACGAAACTTGAAATTTATCGATAAATATAAATCTATTTGAAAATAGGACAATAACATTTTTATCAACTTGTCACCCCTCACAAGTGAAATAGGGGAAGGGAGGGAAAGAGGATAAAGTCAAAGGGTTTTTTTGTTCACTACCTCCAACCATAGCAACCTTTTGCATAGCTTCATTATTTAACATAAGTATAAACATACAAATGTTTGGAGTTTGCTCAATCACCAAAAAGTCCTGGATGCGTCACTGCTTGAGAGATGATTTCTAGATTTTTATACTAAACAACTATTTATAAAAATAAATATTATAAAAATCTTAAAAAGCATTGTAAATTTTTTTAAATTTAGCTTTAGGTCACTACATTTTGGTCTGCATGACTAAAAAAAAGACAAATGCGCTGCAAAAAAGTAATTAAAAAATAGTCAAAAACACAAAATTGAATTGTATTCTTTATTCTTAAGTGAGGAGTTTAAATTTGCTAAATTAAACATAAAAAAGTTGTTAAAAACCTGTTTTAAAGTCCGGATAATTTTGGCAATAATTAGGTATTTTGTTTAATATGCAAAAACAAAATGCTCTTTTTTACGTCACTTTAATAAAAAGATTGATCCAGAAGATCCTAAGTCAAAAGTACAACAATTATTAAACATTTATCTTATATTAGTGTTTATAATTAATTTTTCAAAAATTTTTAAAGCTTTTAAATCGCTTCACCCTAACTAGTATATAAATTTTGTTTATAAACAAAGGTACCGATGCTACACAGAACATATCAAACTAATTATAGCATATGGAAAGGACATATATGAATATAAAGAATATATATGAATATAAAATCATATATATGAATGTAAAGATTACTCCTAGGATGGATAAAAATACAACATCAATTTTTTGATTTTAATTCCAAATAAAAAGCCAAATTTCTTATCGAAACTAAAATGTGAAAAATTTCCATGTTGCACTCCAAACATTCAGATGAATAAAAAATTTAAATCATTTGAAATAAACTTTTGCTAAACATTCAAATGATCCAGTAAAATTATCATATATGTTTTTTGTTTCATTCAACGCAGTCCTTATACGCATTGAATCAAACAAAATAAACAACCTTTGAATGTCAAGTTCGTAAGATCTTATTTTGCAAACACTTAAACAAAGTTTTGAAAAATCCAGGAAAATAATTTACACTGGTAATTCAAGTTGAAAGAGAAATTTGAAAAAAAAAATAAACTTTGAAAATCTGAAAAAGCTTAATGAAGCAAAATAAAAATCTTAATTTGTGTTAAAACGTCTTAACATCTGTATCTAAATTATAGTATCTAAAACCCCTTTTTTTCTTCTTCGGTTTTCAGATTTCAAAAGTTCCTAAATAATTTGAAACTTTTGAAATCTGAGAACAGAAAAAGGAAAAAAGTCAGGACTTAACTCTGAACTGACTTAAGTCAGTTCAGAAAATAATATTATCTAGTATTAAGTAACATTATCTTATATGTTTTTTTTTTCCCTTTAACTTTTTAATCTGCTGAGTAAATTAATTTTTTTTTATCTTTTTGCTGAAACTTGTGTTTCAAATGTTTAAACTCTTTTTTTAAGTAAAAATATTTTAGTAAAATAACTTTTGGTTTACTGTATTAATATTAAAACAAAAAACATTTTGCTTTTTTGTTTTCTTAATATATTCTTATTTTGAGAAATACGATAAAATTCGAATATTGTAGGCAAAATTGTGCTCGAAATTATTTATCAAAATAAACAACAACTGTCGAATAATAAATTTAATTGAAAAAAAAAAAGACTATTAATTTTAATGTTACACTTTAACTATTTCCAATTTGTGCAGCCGTGACGCAGTGGTTAGAGTTCTGGCTCAGAACCAAGAGGTCTGAGGTACGACGTATGCTCCAACCCATTACGTGGCTTTGGTAAAAAAGCAGGATCAAACTTTAAAATAATAAATGTTTTGGAGGACGCACAAGATAAGGTTACCAGAAAAATAACTTCAAAACAGTGACGCAAGTAATGTAAATGTTTAAAGGGACCGTTTTCCGTGGAAGTAGCCTAAAATGGGCTCTGTAATTTAATTTCTGAATAAAACCTGGTTATTAATCAAAAATTAACTATAACTGATTCACAGATGGTACGTAATTTATTGTTCTCCCTATTGTTCACATAATAAATTTATTGTTCTCCCTATTGTTCACATAATAAATTTATTGTTCTCCCTATTGTTCACATAATAAATTTATTGTTCTCCCTATTGTTCACATAATAAATTTATTGTTCTCCCTATTGTTCACATAATAAATTTATTGTTCTCCCTATTGTTCACATAATAAATTTATTGTTCTCCCTATTGTTCACATAATAAATTGGCACTCTGAGTAAAGATGATTTGAAAATAACTTCAATTATAGTCAAACCAAAAAAAATTATTGCTCAATAAAATTTTAAAAGTAATACTTCCAAAAAATTCTTTTTGCTAAAAATGAGGAATAAAAAAACTATTTTTCGGATGGTTTTTTAAATGTTTATAGTTAGCTAAACAATATTCTACAGTTAAACTTGTAATAGTTATTGTCTAAGCATAAGATTCGAAAGAGGTCTATCTCACATTAGGGGCCCATTTTAGACCACTTTCCCCTTAGTTAACTAGTTTCTTTATGATGAACGAAAGTGCGTGGTTGTTAGATTCAAGAAAAAAAATAGAGAAAAACTTATTTTTTCAATAGTTCTGTTTTTTTCTTGGGAGAGGATAAAATATCAGACCTATGCATTAGAGGTACAATGTTAGATTTGTCCTTTTATTTATTTTTGTCTTTGTAATGAAAATAGAAAAGATTTTTAAAAGTCTCTAGAACATAATTTTTGAGATAAAAATAAAAGAGTTAGTAAACTAAGAATTATGCAGCTAAGAGTCAGACAGCTAAGTGTCATGCAGCTAAGCGTCAGACAGCTAAGCATCATGCAGCTAAACGTTAGACAGCACCGCATTAAATAATTGCAATAATAAAATAAAACTTTGAACTTTGAAAAATCTTAAAGAACTCTAACTTTAGGTTGCCGGCAGATGTGCTATAGCACATCTATATATTTCCACAAATATAATAACTTTTTTTCTGACCTATAAAAAGTTATAGCCTATTATACGCAAGGAAAAAGTCATTATATTTTTATTTACATTTTAATTTACCGTTGGTTATAATTATCAACGCAAAATAAAATGTAGCTTAACAAAAAATATGATGACGTATATGCAATCGGCCCACAGGGAATCTCCCGGTATCCCAGCGGTTCAGTCCAATGCTGGTCTTATCTTTTAGAGAGGTTTAAGGATCCGACTCATGTATTAAAGATAAAATGTTAGACTTGCCTTTTTATTTATTTTTGCTTTTGTAAATCAAAATAAAATGATTTTTAAAAAAATTTTGAACTTGGTAAACTCCAATTAGAAGATTCTCGGTCAACATTAAAGTAGTAGTAATAAATATGATGATAAGGCGAATCAAAAAAAATCTCAAAAAGGAGTGAATGAGATTGAAAGAAAGTTTTAATAAGATTGCAGAATAGCTATATGGCCAAAAAAACAACCAGAGCTTAGAGAAAACCCCAAAACTATGGAGTGAAGGTATAAGAATAGCGTTATACAGATAAGAATTACAAAGTTAAATGTTTGAGTAACAGATTAAGAACGACAAAATTATGTATAGTGCCTGCAGGGACACTGCTACTAGAGAGAAGCCATTTAGAGCAATGAGTATTAAAATCACCAATAACGACAATAATGTCTAATTGATAAAGAGAGACGTCTTTATCAATTTAATTAAAAATATTTTAAAAAAGATAGCAGTTTGAGAAGAAGGAGAATGAAAAAAAAAACAAAAACAAAAAAACAAGTGGAAAGAGTGCAAAGACGCAAAACAAAAACACATAACGAGTGAGACGGTTCAAACCTGATTTCACAACAAACAGGTGAATTGAAATGTAAGCATATATTGAGGTCAGGTATCTGGTTATTGGAGCCTTAAATGTGAGTTAAAGGAAAAACCATTAAGACTGAAATCTAACGATAAAATAGCGAAATTTAAATTAGTCTCACAAAATGCAAGTAAGCTTGGTGAACTTTAAAGAAAATAAAATTTAATGGATGAAAAGTTACTTGAATAACCACGAGTACTGGGTAGATATTTTTTATGTTTTGTTTTTTAGATAATTCAGTTATATTTTAAGCTATAAGAGAACCTGAATCAATCATAAAAAGCGCATGACATCCTAACCAATATTAACTCAAATTTATAACAAGGGTTCCTTATGTGGTCTTTACAGCATACACCATAAACATTAACAGACATTTATTTTCAGTATAATTCTTCTATCTATTTCAGGTTAAAATTATTTAAACTTATTATTAAATTTTTTGTTTTGTAACAAACGATAAATTCATACACATATTTTTTATAGCTTTAATTAGTTTACAGCTATTTGCGTATAACTTGCCATTCAAATTAATAAGTAATGTTATATCGTTTAAAAAAAATCAAGAATAACAAGGGTTAATGCACACAGGTATGGACTACTAAAAACATGTATGAAACGGTGACACGCATTCACCCATCACAACTCTTTACCTTTTTTTTTAAAAAAACCCGATTATATCCAGTCATGTAGTACACCCTTGATACCATAAGCTTTGCACTTTTTCAACAGTCGTTCATGTGGAACTTTATCAAAGGCTTTGGCAAAATCCATATAAATAATAGTTACCGCTAAATCTTCATTCATGCTTGCTGTTAAAATGTCTAATGTTTTTAGTAATTTTAGTGGAACTTTTTTTATTTGCTTGGAATATAATGTGTGCAATTTATAGTCGGTTTGTGGAAAAGTTTTGTATTCGGGTCTTAGTTACAAATCCGTTGTTAACCAACATACCAGTTAAATGTAACTTTATAATAATACGAGAACTTATATAATACGAGAGTTTTCCCTTGATAGTAACTATAATGATGAGTTTTTAGAATTTTATTCTTGTCTTGATAGTTTAAGAGCTTTAAACTATTGTTCTAGATATTTCATAATCTTATTTTATAATCTCTAAAGTGCACTATTGAATTCACCTTTTCCACTATTGCATTATTGTTAAATTTACGTTGATTTTAATAAATATATTTCTTGTATAAATATCGTCTACTACATTACATAATCACTTTATGTTTCAGTTGGCTTTCTTTTTACTCCGCTTATTTGTTTCTACTACGTCTATTTGTTTCTACTCCGTCTATTTGCAGACAAAAATAGACTTTATTAAAATCTGTTTTTGAATTTATTTCATTGCAATAACACTTTTTAACCTGCATTACCTATTTTTATTGAGACAAACTTTTAAAAAATAATTTGCATAACATTTAAAATAACTTAAGTTGTTTTAATACTAATTTAGTTATTTTAAATGCAACAGAAAAATAATAATAGTAATAACTTACTATAATTAATAATAACGACAGCAAATTTATTTTGCTTTCGTTTATATAATTTTCAACTTATTAAATCTATTAGTTATAGTATTTAAGTTTGCACTCATTCTTGATGGAAAACTTTTTTTTTGTTTTCTTGTTTGTTTTTTTTTTGTTTTTTTTCCTTCTGTTTTAATATAACATAAGAACTTTACAACTTTGTACAGTAACTGTACCTCATAAAATAGTAAGTAAAACAGATAGGGGCTCAAAGAAGATGAGGACGACAGTACGTCATCGCAATCTTTTCATAGAACCCCTTTAACAAAATTTCAATCAAATATCGTAATATGTAATACGTAATAAAACTTCGTAAAATATATATGTAATAAAATTTCAACTAAATATTGTAATAAATATCTTTATAAAATGCGCTGATAAGATTGTTAAGCAACAAAAAAAAGTTGAGAAGTAACATTTACCAAAAACGTTTCACAAGTTTTAAAATTTTCTCTTTTTTTTTGTAAACTTGAATAAACTTAGAGAATTTACCGTACCTTTGAATCCTATTTAAAAGGTGTTCCATACTTTACTTAGATATGAAATGCCGTATTCTGATTATTTATTTATTATACGAGGCAGTTTATATGCGTTTAACATATTTGCTCTAAGATTATAGTTTTCATTTTTACTTAATTCAAACGTGTTATTATATCTTAAAGTAGACATACTGTAATTATAACAATACATAAAAATTAAATGCTGATAAACATTTATTTCAAACGCATTCATCATTTTCATATCTTTCATTATAAGTTTAGCGCGTTCACGCCTATCTTTATAGTAAAAGATTTTGCAATCATGTCTTTGTAAACTACAAGTCCGTAGGAACATAAATTATATATAAGGAGGGGGAAGGATAAGTGCTGGATTAAGGGGCCCTGAAATAAGTTAAAGGCCCTTTATACTTTGGGCTAATTCATAGCTTTATTAGCTATGCAAACATTACATGGGCAAGTACTCAAACATCAAAGCTTAAAATTTAAGCTTTGATGTTTGAGTAATTGCCCATGAAATGTTTGCCCAAAGTAGATTAAGTTAAGACTTTGCATATTGACGTAAAAACAAACTCGATACAATGATTCCTAAGAGTCTTGCTCTTTATCAACTTTTTCTTTTTCAATTTTTTTTTTCTATGCTTTTTAATATAATTTTTGATAAAACATTTTTAACAAGAAGTAAAAAACAAGAAAAAAGAAAACGCGCCTTAAAACATGAAAAAACTTGAATAAAAAGAAAACTTGAAGAAATTTGGTTGACAACTTTTAAGGTGTCGGATACTTTTGCCTAAAAATTACTATAATAAAAATTGTGCAATTATAAAAAAAATTATAATATAAATGACGTTTGTTAAATATATATTTATAAAAAATCACTTTTCTTCTAGAATGACATTCGAACTATTTTGCTACTTTGTGTGGTTGCATATGCTCAAGGTAAATAGATCTATCTATTTGTTAATATATATATATATATATATATATATATATATATATATATATATATATATATATATATATATATATATATATATATGATTTAAAGGATAACATCTTGTGTGAGAGTATATTTATATATAATTTTAAAACATCAAAAATACGATTTCTCTCAACATTTATAATTTTTTATTATTATAGAAATTTTCGCTGGATTTTAGATACCAGCTTCTTCAGTTTGTTAAATGTTACAGTAATTAGTAAACCGTTATACACGGTCGTTTAGACTTGAGAAATAAGTGGAAAGTTATTATACGCAAGCGCAGTAGAGTTATAAATAATTTAGAATTTTAAAAATGGCTACGGATGTAACGTTTTTAAAAACTTATCATTGACAACGAGTAACTTGTTTAATTTTAGATAACTTAATAGGCTTTTAACTATTTTTAAAATAAAATTATTGTGAAAATAACTTGCAGCTTTACTAAGAAATGTTTTAAATAAAATACAAGTCCTCTGAATGTGAATAAAATCTACTTTCAGCTAAAGCTACTTTTACTGTTTTTGTTTATAATCTTTAAACCTTTTTAAAAAAAATTTTGAGCGTAGAAATTTTTAAATTTTTATTTATTCAGCAAGATGAATTTATTTTTTTTGCATTTTTTGCTTTTATGAGGATTCAATTTTTTTTGCAGGGTTAAAATAAAATCTTAATCGTTAACTTTTTGTAACCTAGTGCTACGATACTCCTTTCTGATGTATATATATATATATATATATATATATATATATATATATATATATATATATATATATATATATATATATATATATATATATATATATATATATATATATATATATATATATATATATATATATATATATATTGTAAATAAAAACACAAACAAGTTTTGAACTTAAAGCATAACTTTGATAAATTATTTAATTTTTAGATATAAAGCTATATAAAGTTTGTAATATTCATAATAATGCAATAGAGACAAACAGAAAAAAAAGCAACATTAGTATAATTTAAAAAATATAAATTTATTTTATGCATCAAATAAATATCAATCAACACAAAATAAAAGATCAAAATATAATTCAAATGAAAATATAAATATCTTTTATGCATTAAAAACATTTTTCATTCTTTCAATCTTTAAGTAAAAAATATTTTAAATATATTCATATTGATTTTAACAATCTCAAGCTGAAAACATTAAAAAAAAAAATTTAAACACGAAACACAAAAAATATTTATATCGAGATCCAAGAAAAAGTCTTTCTGCTTTAGTTTACTTTTCCTTTCTTTACAACAGGTAAGTTTCTTTGTTGAAACGCAAATATGGTTGAAATACTAAAAAAATATATACTATAATATTTGTTTGTTTTAAATCAATTTTTATCATAATTTATTAATTTTGAAACAATATGTACAAAACCAGACTGATGAATCAAAACCAGAATCAAAATGATAGCATTCAATCGATAAAATCAAAAACATAACTAATGGTATTGCTTTGATGCAGGCAATACAGTTGATTTATTTGAGGTTATTGACTAAATCAAAAGCCTGGAGTAATAGCATTCAAAATTTCGATCATAGATAAGTGTGCATAAATATATAATGTATGTATGCGTATATATATATATATATATATATATATATATATATATATATATATATATATATATATATATATATATATATATATATATATATATATATATATATATGTATATATATATATATATATATATATATATATATATATATATATATATTATATATATATATATATATATATATATATATATATATATATATTAGGGTCTTGTGAATTGCTTCGATTCGTAAATCAAGTGTTGCTTCGATTCGAGTCGAAAAAAAAAGATTCAAGTTTTTTCAAATCATATTTTTGCGAATATTGCTGGTTTTTTTAGATTTCTAAAGCTAAAATGTAATTGAAATGGGTTTTTCAAACCGGGGGGAGAAAGTGTAATTGAAAATAGTTCTAACATCACTTTAAAACAAACGCCAAAAATATAATCCGAGCAAAAAGAATTTGTTCAAAGAAATATTTTTATCTTTTTGGAAAAAAAAAACAAACTTAAACTTGGTTTTCACGAATAGCTGATTCAATTCGCGAATCAAGACCTGCTTTGAGATTCTGCTTTGAGATTCAATTTGAAGAGTCGTTTAATGTAAAAAAAGTCTCTTACGACTACAATTTTAATTACCTCGACTCTTAAGCTGTATTTGATTGTCGTCGAAATGTCAAAGCAATTAAATTAATGCGGAAGTACATTAAATTTTATTGTTTTTTAAAATATTTTTAAAAAACCGCAATAATAACAACTAGAAAGTTTTTTTTAATTTGTAGTGTTTTTGTTTTATTAAAAAACATATTTAAAACATGCGTAAATGTTGCTACATCGACTATCTTATAGCCTGACTCGCAACGGAGTGCTGCTACATCGACTGACAAAATTAAAACTACAGTTTATGAGAAACTCTTTTTAACTACCATGCAAGAGTATATATATATATATATATATATATATATATATATATATATATATATATATATATATATATATATATATATATATATATATATATATATATATATATATATATATATATATATATATATATATATATATATATATATATATATATATATATATATATATATATATATATATATATATATATATATATATATATATATATATATATATATATATAGCCACATCGGAAAAGAGCACCATAGCAACAGGTTACACAAGTTTAATGATTAAGATTTTCTTTTAACCCTGCAAAAAAAATTGAATCCTCATATAAGCAAAAAATACAAAATAGATAAAAGGTTCATTTTGCTGAATAAATTTAAATTAAAAAATTTCTACGCTCAAAAATATTTTAAAAAAGGTTTAAAAATTGTAAACAAAAAAACTAAAGTTGCTTTAGCTGAAAGTAGATATTTTTCACATTCAGAGATCTTGTATTTTATTTTTAAAATTTCTTCGTACAGCTGCAAGCTATTTTCTAAATAATTTCATGAAAAAACTAGTTAATAACCTATTTAATTATCTAAAATTAAACAACTTACTCGTTGTCAATGATTAGTTTTTATAATCCTGTTACCGTAGCCATTTTAAAAAACCTCCAAAAAATGTAATTCCACTGCGCATGCGTATAATAACTTTCCTCTTACAAACGACCGTGTATAATTTAAATAAAAACGTTGAATGGCTTCTTTTTCGCTGAAATTTAAAAAATGGCGTCCAAAACTTAGTTTTTACGTATTGACCCTCATCGAGATTAATCCCGCCATTTTTTGCAGAACACATGTTTTTTTGTATTTCTAGGGCTTCCCTAACTTTTCTTTCAAATTTTTTATTTTCTAATTTCAATGTTTTTGTTTGTTCCCAAATAAGTTCTTTTTTGCAAAATGTTTTATGCAGAGCTAATGCAGATTGATGCTGCTTATTTTCATCAATGCTTTTTTGGTGTTGATGCATTCGTGTGTTTACTTTCATTTTTGTTTCGCCTACATACACTCTTGAACAGTTGCATTTGATTATATATGTTCCTGGTTAACTGTTATTTGGTAATTTTGATTTATTTTTTGATGTTAATAGGGATCTTAAGTTTGGGTTTGATTTGAATACCGCTCTGTAACCAGCTTTTCGGAATATTTTCCTAAGTTTTGGCGAGAGACCGGGTACCCATGGTAAGGAAACTACAGGATAATTATTGATTTCAGATGGAATTGTAATTTTATTTTGTCTTTTGTGTTGAACCTGATGCGCAATATTCATTATTTGAGTTTTATCGTAACCATTTTCAATAAACACGTCAATTAGAAAATTTATTTCATTTTGCAAGTAAGACTTACTACAGATTGAGTAAGCTCGGTAGAAAAATCCTTTAAAAATAGAGTTCAAGATATTTGGATCATGATTTGAGTGTGGCTTAATTTGAATGTTAGTGATAGCATCTTTCCGATATTCTCCGTATTCATACTTTCCTGTTTTTTTATTGATAATTTGTATACCCAGATAATTTAGTGTTCCTAACTCGTTTTCAACTTCAATTGTATACTGGATGGAAGGATGTTGTTGATTTAAAATGTATTGGAAATGTTTAAAGTGTATTCCTCGATGTTTTTGGAAAACATCGAGGAATACTCTCCTCCATTAAAGTTTTAATGTTTCTCTTTGTTCTTTTAAATTCCATAACTGGAATATATAGGATTTCCAAAAAATGGAAATCCTAAAAAACTCGGCGAAGTTTGTAAGCTCTCGGAACGATAATTCTCGGAGGTATTTAGAATGGATGCTAGAATATTACGTTATTGCGCGCCATAATTGTACTTTTGAAAATAATAAGACAAAAGGTTTGCATGAATGCTTTTAATAAAAATTTAACACTTTACAAAAAAAATCTAAAAATTGAAAAATACAGAGTAATCTCTAAAAATACAGAGTATACTAAAAAAATTTATCAAAAATACTGATTTTATTAAAATTATTATAATATTTAAAGTGTAATATTTATTGTAGATATGTTGATATATCAATTAAATATTATAATAATTTTAATAAAATCAGTATTTTTGATAAATTTTTTTATATATACTTGTATCTTCTAAACGATTATACTTACTTGTATCTTCTAAACGATTATCTTTTCACAACTTAACGTGTTTGCTTCTTAATTTTTTCAGCTTTTAGCTTAAGTTATCTTCTTTTAATCGATCTTCTAAAGGTATCTTGTGGCTTTTCTTCCCATAGTTTTTGCAACGTAAATTTTGTGTTGTTCATTAAAAAAAGTAAATACTATATTATACTGTAATACCTTATTGTCTACTTATAAATTACTTATTTTATTTTACATCACAGAGGATACCTATCATTAATATGTTTTAAGAATAAGGAGAAAGTTTCCCAAACATTTTTATTATAAAATTCATAATGTTCTCTGT